AATTCTGTTGGCAAATTAATGTAAGCATGCAAACTGAAATTAGTATATTTGGAAAAGTCATGCTAATCCTGGTTCAGAGGGAAAAAAACTAATAATATTATTTTCACAGGGGGGCTAATATTTCTTTCGTCATCTGACTCTTATAGACATTTAAATTTAGTGAATACTTAAAACCTGTAAATAAAGCAGTGAGGTAACAGAGTGTTTACCCTGTGACAACATCATAGTTGAGGGTGGGATAGTCTTTGGAAACGGGAGGAACTAGCGCCTCTGGCTGCCATTCCTCAATCAGTTCCTCCTTTTCCTGTAATGTAGAATCATGTGAGAGGAGTTTGGTAACAAAAAATAACACTGTTTGATTTTAACCGCACAGTTTACCTTCTCTGTCAGTTTATACGTCTCATGAAGTTTGTAGGTCTTAGAGAACAGAAGCCTAATTATCCACAGTATGAGGATTCCCTCCAAAATAAGGTGGTAAGCAGGAGCCTGAGGGGAAAAAAAAATACTTGTTTTTGAAACATGCTCCAAAAAAATGCATTTTTACATAGGAAAGAATTAAAATAAGTGGAAACATTTCAGAAACATTGCAAATGCCTGAATGAAATTTAAATGCAAATGCAACAACTAAGCTGTAGAGAACTTAATACATCCATCGGATACCTGTATAAAATCCCACAAAAAGCACGTACCTAGCCAAGAAATGGGCCTTTTCAAACATTTACAAATGAATGGGTTGCTCTAACGAGATTACTGAATTTGAGCATGGTACTGTAATGTCTGTGAAAGTTCTCAGTCATCCAGGTCATCGTAGTCAAATGAGCTTGCAAAGAAAAGCATCTGGACTTCTTTAAGTTGCTTGAAGACGTTTCACCTCTCGTCCGAGAAGCTTCTTCAGTTCTAAGGTCAAATGGTCCATGGTCCATTTGACCTTAGAACTGAAGAAGCTTCTCGGAATTAAGTAGCAATTAAGGTCGCATTGCCACAAGTGTACAAAAAGCAAGTACCTCGCCAAGAAATGGGCCTTTTCAAACATTTACAAAAGAATGGGTTGCTCTAACGAGATTACTGAATTTGAGCATGGTACTGTAATATGATGTAGCAATTAAGTTTGTGAAATTTCTTGCCTCTGAGATATTCCATAATTAATTGTAATTGGTATTAGTGCAGAGTAGTAATGTTTATAAACCAAAGAAATTTAGCTGTGACGCTGCAGACCATGTAAAGTTCTAGAGCGGTAGCGTTAAGTGCTAAGGCACACCACTTGTAAAAGTTGAGCATTCCAAACCTCCTCTTAGCACATGGACTGTGCATCATTCATGGCATGTATTTAAAAAGGCCAAGCACCTCTTATAAATGTAGTTGGCCCAATACTTTTTGATGTAGTAAAAGAGAACATGTAAGGGGTAAGTGTAACAGAGTACGATGCTGACCAGGAGGATGAGGAAGAAGAGGAAGATAACTGAAATGGCAGTAAAAACAAGTTCAGCACTGTTGAACACTCATGTCTTCAACCCAATCATGCTGGCTGCACCACCATGTGCAAGGTTACAAAAATTAAGAGGAACACAATCAGCTAAAACAACAGTGAGGTCCAAAGCATACTGCTGCATTTTTACTAGGGCTTCAACAAATAAAATAACTCAATTATAAAAAATCCTCAACACAAATGTTTTGCTCCAATGCTTCGTTTAATACATGGCACTGTAGTGTGCAGTTGTTACCATGTAAACGTGAGCTTTTCACCCATGTTTGTGACTAAAAATAGACTTGCAATAGGAACATATCTAAGAACAAGCATGTGAATAAGTAGTATGAAGACATTAAGCCTACGCAGCCCCCAATTTTTCAACGAAAAGACTTATAACACAACAGCAGCAGTGATAAAGTCAGGAAGAGTGAAATAAAACGTTTTTCTAGTGTTCAAAACAGCAGTGCTGCTCCTGTAATAGCCATTGAAACCTTTACTGGGAAAGGGTAGTGGTCCTTAATGAAAGCACCTGATCAACAAACTCTGACATGAAGAAAAGTGAAATTTGTAGCTTCTCCATCCACCACTGTTTGCTTTATACAGCAAGAAGCTACAGTAAAGCTGCAGAAATTATATTAAAATATACAGATGAACTGTTAACTTAGTCTGACACATGTTTAAATTAGGCAGCCTGTTGAAGGCTGATGGCAGCCGTCCCACTTTCTATCGCAGTGATAACTGCAGCAAGCAGGGGGGAGTCAGTTGACAGTTGAAATGTCCTATGTCCAAAATTAATGTCTTATGTTGGACACTGAATTATTATTAACATTATTTATTAACCTCATACACCATCATAACAGAAAATTAAAGATATGAAGATGTGACAAACTGAGGATGAGGATACTTGCATGTCCAAGACAAGTCAACATTTTTCTAACTGCCTAGATTGGGAATCTAGAGCCTAACTGACATAAAGAAAGAAAGAAAGAAAGAAAGAAAGAGGCAACAATTCACAAATACAGCCAATTTAAAATCAACAATTAATGTAGCTTGCATGAATGGACTGATTCTTATATACTGCTTTTCTACTCTCTCTGAGCACTCAAAGTGCTTTATACAACATGCCACACTCACCCATTCACACAAGCACTTTCTTTTATGCTTTAAGTTCTTCCTATCTATAAGCATTCACACACTCAAAGTATCTTGGGGTTAATATTTGCCCAAGGATACTTGGCATGCAGACTGGGGCAACCTTCTGATTAGTAAGTGACCTGCTCTACCTCCTGAACTACAGCCACCCCACAGGACCATGCAAACTTCTGCAGAAAGGCCACAGCTGGCTCTCTTATTCAAATCCAGAGCCTTCCTCTGAAGTGATAGCACTAACCACTGTTCTACTTGTCATTGCTTAAAAAAATGTAACATGGACACTTGTGAATAGTTGAAGAGATCTCAAAGATAAAGTATGCTCCTACTTCATTCCATCATGACGGTGCCCTACGAAATGACGGAAGAGACGCCCTCTACACACACAACTAGCCGATCACTCTGATAAGTTTCCCCGATTACTAACCAAAAACATGTGAAGGAAATAATAACAACAATAATAATATTAATAATAATAAAACAGCCAATCATAGCACTGATAAACAAAAGCTACAACACCTCCAAAAGTTGATTCTGTTCATCTGGGCGTAGCGTTTTGTGAACAGAATCAACTTTTGGAGATTTACTTACCTGGATGATTTAGCGTGCATCAAGACGTTAAAAAGCTACAACGGTTAGCCTAACATCATCAGCATAATTTGAAGCGCTTATCGTAGCAGCTCTATCGTACTATGTGCATTTAGAAACTTAACTCCAGCGCTGTAGCTCACCTAATGTGTAAGTAGTAGCTAGCTACTACATACTTCCTTGATGAGTTACCTCTTCGCTGAACAGCTACGGGCTGAGCCTTTCATCGGGTCGTGACCGAGAACTTTACAGTTAACAACCTGGGACAAATTTAACAGCACCAACGTATAGCCAAGCATAAGAAAAATCGAGTAAACGTCAGGGAATAATTCGGCCCAACAACTGAGGAAAAGAAACACTTACCTCATAAAACGCCTGGACCATTTCCACCAACACCCATTGCTGTCCGGTCGCCATGTTTGACTTCCTAAAACGTCACTCGCAATCATGCCACACCCCTATTACGTCACCCACCACTGCTATGACTTTATTTTTATTTCTTAAAAAATAATAATAATAAAATAAAATAATTAAACAGCCCACGTATAATTGCACAGCTTTTTATTATAATAAAAATAAAAAATAAAAACTCTTACTCTATGCAATACTGTTCTAAATGCCACTTTAAATCTTGTACTGCTCTAAAAATTTGCACTGCTGCTCACTCTTGCCACTTTATCTCATGTGCAATCACGTTGTCCGACCCCACCTCAATACATGAATATTGAGGTAAGGTGGTCCATTAATACATTTCTATTTTCTTTTATTTCTTGGAACTGTAATTTTAGTGTTATATTGCATTATAATTTTAACTTGCAGTGCTATATTGTACTATGCTGCTGAGAGACTTGTCTTCTGCTCGTCTAACACATTTCATTGCAATGTTGACCCTGTGCTAACTTGCTTATGACAAATATAGCTGAAAACTGAAAATATCAAAAAGGTGATTGAATGATTAAATTTAATTAAAATGAATAACTACATAAAGCATTAGTGTGATTAATGAATTTAATACTCGAAACTGACTGACTGTACTGAAACAAATTATCAAAGAACAAAAGTAAAGTTTAGTAAATGCTGGTTTCTACAAGCAGTGCTTTGGCACAGGATTTGAAAAACAAAAACATTCCAACAAACTAAATTTGGGTCAGAAACTTGGGTCAGATTTGTTTTAGTCCAGACGCAGTAATGACACACAATATTATCTCTCTGTGATTGATTGTAGATACAAATTCATGCAAAATGGCTCATGGCTAACAAAGTGTCCTTTATTTAGCCCAACAATTTTCTGTGGCAAAATACAAAGAAAACATACAAAGAGAAACTGCAGCATTATCAGAATGCACCATCAGAAGAACATCTCATGCGTGAAAGACGCCAGCGAAAAATAGTTTCATTACAGGTGCTAGAGGTCTGCCTGAACTGACAGGAACAGGGGTGCCTCAAAATATTTACACCAGAAAGTGCTGCATAATCAGTCAACCAATCAAAATGCTTGGCCAAGAACTCACCAACTTCAAGCTTCAAAAACCAACTGTGTGGAGCTGTGACATCTGGTGGAGAGCTTTGTTTTGCCACCAGTGCAGGCAGAGCCTTTTGGGGCACTCTTTTAAGACCGTGCAAAAACTAGCAAGTTAAACTAACTGTTGTAGTGGGCAAAGGAAGGAAATAGGATGACACTCAAATTTCAGTTGGTTCCAGATCACTGTCTTGAAAACTGAAAAGTTGATTTTTTTTTTTTCCATTTGTGTTTAATTTGAGATTTTCTAGAGTCTGTCCTAATGACTTCTGTAGTCAATCAATAAAGGATAATCACACATCTTCTATTAAGAATTAAAAGTCAATCATTTACACTAAGGATAATTACAACAAAAATGGTCAATAAAAGAATAAAGGTTTTTCAGAGCCAGCTAAATAAACAGCATTCACACTTTGCATTTCCATATGAACATCATTAAATAATTAAAAATTGAATTTTCAACCAACCCTGTACTAGATTTACCTCAAATGTCTAAATGATTTTAAAGGTCACCCAATCATTGCTTAATCAGTCAGGGGAGAAAGCCTATATTTAATTCAGAAACAGGACTTCAGTCTAAAACAAGATTTAGACATTTGCTTATATTTTACAATCAAATCTAATTTTTATAATAAATACTACTGCTTATATCAGCTCTAGAGTTACAGAGAGCTATAAACTTTATGCTGAAATTGATCTTGAACTGTACAAAAGTTAAAATGTCTGTTTTGAAATGCAAAAACTGTTTGGTTAGCATAGTACTGTAATTCTTCATATTAATAAAACAATACCTCGCCATCTGGCTGCATGGCAAACTTAAAGTGCATTATAACACATAATTATCTAAGCTTATAAATGCTGTGTCTGAAATTGTAAGATGCTGATTTGTTTTGCAGAAAAAAAAAATCTTCTTTTGTACATGAATAAGAAAGTATTGTGAAAGTGGTTATCCTGCCTTTAACTGAGTATTTTATTTATTGGTAGGTAGTGCATTCCACTTTCAAGCCTTTAGATGCAGCGTGTCACTTTACCTTTGGTTTAATCACAGAAATTATTATTTATTTATTTATTTACAAAGTAAAAATATAAGTGTGATAGAGGTTCAGGGGGTAGTGCCAGGGAGGCTGGCAGGCCAGCTGAGATCAATTTGTTAATCACTCTCTCCCTATTTCAGTGATTCTGGGACTTGGAGGTGGCAACAACTGGGAAGCTGCTGGGACAGCAAAGTGAAAGGCACAGTTGTACATAAACACACACAACATGCAACGCTGAGTTTCTCGGGTAATTCAGGTGTTTACAATAATTTTTAATTTATAAAGCTATAATATCATTTTTCATTGGTATTTGATTTAAGCTGTGCCTACATTTATTGTATGCATCCTGGGTAACTGAGAATGAGGTTCTGTCTTAGTGCATCTTCCTAGGTTTTGATTGAGTAAAATGATGGCAGTGAAGCTGCTGAATTATGATACTCTAAAATTAATGAAAGCAACATTATATTTAGACTTGAGACTGGAAATAAGACAGCTGAGCAGGACTTATTTCTAGAACAGAAGCATACAAGAAATGTGGACAGACAATAACTACACAGGCTCAGCTTCAGCTTCTGCACGAGCCTATTTCGAAACTGCATTGGGAGATTAAGGTAGATTAGTTTAGATCAATAGAGCAGTACCAAATCCCTCACCTAAACATACATACAGATTGTTTAGCGCAGCACACCATGCTGCTCAATGAGAACTTATGGAAAGAAACAACAAATTATCTAATTCACTGACTCACTGAGTTGTAGGCAACATAATTGTTGTAGGCAACAATTATGCTACAGACTCAAACTTGTAGCAAAGTAAAACATCACTCTATGAATAACTTCCAGCATTTACAAATCTCACTTACCATATCAATAATTTCTGTTGATTTCATTTTCTGATAGTACTTTTTAATTGCCAAGTATTTTGAATAATGCAACTTGTTCTTTGGGTCATTTAATTAATTCCTCAACTTACCCAGATTAGCAAGTAGTTAATTTATACCGGTATAAAAAGGAGACTAGTAGAGAGTGATGCATAACTGTACAAATAACAATCAGCTACATTTAGCTATTACATATAACAAATATTTCTTTTTCTCATTTTTTCCAATTTTCCAGCTGGTTTGGAAGAAAGTAAAGAAGCAGATAGTTGGCCTTGCTTCTGCACTAAATTGGGTGCAGATCTGTTCTATCTCCTTTTGGTGTCTTCAACATTGGTCTATCTCCTGCTGGTTAAGCTGTGTCTAGTACCATTTCATTGGTTAGAGTACACTCAGTTTTAGAGACATGACTGCTTTGGGCCCCACGGTGCATAGCTATCTGCGTTTAAGCAGAACAGAAAGTAGAGGAGTCCTGGAAGGTTGAAGTATCAGGATGAAGTTCTGTTATAGCCTACCTCTATGTGTTTCTCAAGCCACATCTCTGCTAACTGCACAGCTGATGCAAATGCACTTGCTCTTGACCCGAGACACATTTTATATTGCTTCTGTTCAAGGCTTGAATTGCAATTGATAGGATGATAAACGTGGACAATTCCTGGTTCTTGACTGCGTAAAACCTTTAAACCAGAATTAATAACCTTGGTGTAGAAGTCTACATCTTCCAACCCCCAGCCTAGGATGGATGTATCAAAACCTCCAGCTTTTAGTAAATCGCTCTTAAAAACACAGGTGGTTCCAAAGCCATAATCACGCCAAAAGCCACTTTTCTTGGTGAGCACAAAGTTGTTTTCACTTGGGGCTTTTTCACCGTACACAATCTTAGGGCTGTATTGGCTAAAGATAACAGGAAAATAGACCTGTCTCCCTTGAATAGCATTATCTCTGCAGCGCTGCAGAGCCTCACCACTAAAGATTAGATCAACATCGCAGAGGAACAGTAAAGTGTCATTATCAAGCTGTGACGAACCCAGCTCTAGAGCCAGCCCTCGTGAAAAATTTCCTGTCATGGGGATTACAGACATATCAGCTTTAGGATACTTTCTCTTATAGTCCATTATTAAATGAATATGCTTTTTTATATTCTTATTGTTTACATTGTCCACCAAAATGATGCAGAGCTGAACATTTTGTTTAGGTATCAAACACACTTTCTCAAAGTTCTCCATAAACCGAATAAAAGTGCCATAGCGACCAGACAGTGGGACGAGAATGCTGATCTTTTTCTGGCTTTGCTCCCACATTTCTCTTGTTGACTCATAGAACTGGAAAGGTGACAAGAACTTCAGAGAGTTGGATAGGAATGACAGTGATTGGGATTCAGAGTTGATGGCAGCCATAAGTTCTGAAACATTTAGATCTTCAGCTTCACTAAAGAAAGGTCGGCTGAAGGACTGTTGAAGGTAAGCATGCCGCCTCACAGGCAGAGTTATTTTACGTCCCTTGTGTTTTTTGTACAGAAGCAACAAGTCTAAGACGTATTCTGCACCATGTATTGGATCCACCCTGTAGTAGCCATACTGAATCTCTTTAAAGTCAATTACATGGCCACGTGTCTTTGAATTTTCATTAATCATTTCCATGACCTCTAGTATAATATTGTCTTCAAGGGCAGTCCGAAGCAATTTTCCAAGGCTTTGCCTAGCCATCTTGTTTTCAATGGCAGAATAAATATGTTGGCCTGTCAGGAAATCCCACTCAGTGACATCATTTCTCTCATTGGGCACATAGCGCATGTAGGAAGGTGGAGACCCCAGCTGTTGGTCCTCCCACAGTATTTCTGTATCACTAAGATAACTCATATGTAGGCCTTCACGATGGAGTAGGATTGTGCGGTAACGGAGCCTTGAGATCTCACAGCTGAGCATGTAGTTGTGGAGCCGGTACTGGTAGGCAGGACTTTTGTTGGGATGGAGCGTAATGGCATTGTGGATCTTGCGACTGTG